TATAGTCTAAAATGTTACATTTCCATAGGTTATACTGGTGTATTTTCGATTCACATATCAATTCTTCAGTTGTGTATCGATGGCTAGGGTTCAGTGTGGTCCAAAACAGTGCGTCTAATATGATTTAGTGCTGTCTTTCATCATTCAGAGTGGCCGATGGCCATCAAAATGATTTTGGGCAATTCAAAAAATGCTCAAAAATGTTGTTTGGTAGCCAAATTTGATTTTCATCCAATAAAGTGGACTGGATGTGGTTTTTTCGAGTTCATGTGTTCTACAGAGTTGTTTAATTTTTCTCTGGCCATGATTTTGGCGAAGAAAGTGAGCAAAAAAAATGTATTCCTCGTAAGTTATGGTCGAAAAACTGAAAAAATCTACTCTTTTTCGGACATTTGGTCCCCTAGCACCCACCAAATGTGATTCTTTTGGCACAGTTTGTTCACAAAACTTGTTTATTGGACCTTTAACTACAACTTTGCTCAAGACAGTAAGATGTTGTCACCAATACTAGATGAGTTATTGACCAAAAACTGAAGAAGTCAACTCTGGAAAATCCTCTGAATCCCAAAAACTGCCAAGGTCGATAAAATAAAAACCGCTACTAAACTTTCAAAACCCAGCTAGGGTTTTGCTCACCTATGGTAGTACAAACACCTCTGATATGCCAAATCTTGGTTGTCTGACTTTTTTTTAAATTGTTGCACTGTGTTATAATCAATTTAATAAAAGTTACTATCAAAAAAAAAAAACCACAAACAAATCAACATTCTATGAAGGAAATAATAATTGCAATTACAATTTATGGCAAGATCGAGTCAGTGCTTTTCGTCTTTTCAAAAAAGTCCAAAGCGGCACCAATTTTTAGTTGAATCTGGTTGAATCTTAAATAATTTCAGGACTAGTTCATTAAATCCGACATGCGCTTGATCTGGATTTCGAACAACCAATAATCTCATTCTTATAAAACGCTACCATTCAATTCATATCGAAATGGATCATACAGATTTTTTACACAGCGAATTTAAACGCTATTTGTTATAATGAATGATTCAAACAATGGTCAAGAGCTCTTTTCCGTGCTGTGAATGCAATTCTTCTGTTCCAAGAGGTCATAGAAAACAAATCACATTTCCATACATGTATGGATACACTGTTGGCAGCTAAGAATAATTTAAATCAGTCACACGATGAATCAGTTTGTCATCATTCAATTTTATCTAAACAATGTCGAATCGAATAAAAAGGAAACTGATACAATTTCGTATTTGTTTTTATTTAACGTAAATTGATAATCAACAGTAGCGTGACTCGATGCGATTAATTGTAGGATGCAGATATTATTCCTTTACCAGCAGACATCTACTTGTGAATTTTCTTATGTTGGTTCAGATTTCCCGTTTGCGAGAAGTACTTCGAGCATATTTCACATCGGAAAGGCTTTTCGCCAGTGTGGATTCGCATGTGTCTCATCAAATCTGGTTTACGGTCAGTTGTGTAGCTGTTGCATAAGTCACATTGGTATCCGCGTCGCTTGCAATTGGCTTCATGATCTTCTTTTTCCTTCTGTTGTGCGAAGTTTCTGAAGCAAGATGAACATTTGAATTTCAACGGACGAGGATTGACGTGAGTTTTGTGGTGGGTTTTTAAAGCGCTTGCATGATTGAATTTCTTAGAGCATTGGTCGCATTCGAATGGTCTCTCACCGGTATGCACGCGCAGATGACGTTTCAAATTCGTCTTAATCAATGCAGAGAATTCCTTACACAGATGACACTCGTAGCGATGTACGTTGCAACCGTATTCGTGTTCCGCCTTCTCCTCGTTGCGATGAAATCCTTGCGAACAATTTGAACAACTGAACAGAAATTCATGGACGTGTCTTTTCATGTGCGATTGTTGACTTTGTTTTGATGTGAATCGTTTCTGGCCCACGCTGCATGGAAATGGTCGTTCACCAGTGTGCTTGAACATATGTCTCGTCAAATGATCTTTTCTGAAAGTGCAATAATCGCATAATGAACACTTCTGCAGTTTTTGATTTGCCTTCTTGTCACCTGAACTGAGAGTATTGAGTTTTTTATTTGCACCACCATCCAATCCACTTGACTTCTGGCCGTTTGCTTTCGATAAACGCTTTCTTCCACTGTTTTGCGGAGTTTGACTTTTGTCGGAGCTCTCTCGTGGAGCATTGACATGATTCGCCTCGTCTGTAACTTGTTCAATCTTGGCTTCCGATTTCACTTCATCCAGATCGTAGAAATCGGAGCAAACGTCGGAGCTATTCATTTCTGTACCGCCATTAGATTCACCAGAAGATCGATTGGCTCGAGTGTGTGTTGACCGCGACACCATCACAGTACCGTCGTCATCTTGTAGCTCTTGTTTAACGGTCGGCTCCAGTTTTATTTCCATTTCACACAAAATCGAGTCATTCCGAATGGCGATGTCATCCGATTCGTGTTTATCAGGCGGCTCTCTGCCGTGACCATTCATTGCCACGCAATTTCGGTGCTGTCAATTAGAAATCAGAATATTTATTAAAAATAACACATGGAACAAACACTTGAAAAACTCTATTTTGACAATAACTCACCTTTTCTTCACAAAACAAACTTTTTGTCTCGTTAAAATAAAATAAGAATAAATTGATCCAACGTCTAAATTCGCTGATTAAACTCCGTAGAGCATAAATTGTGTGTTGAACTGACTCTTGGCAGACCGAAAATGGCGTCGTGGAAGAATGAAAATATTTATTGAGTTGAACCAATCGTTTAGTCGATGCACGATGACATGGACAAAATGGACGAATAGTGCATACAGTCACACACTACAATGACAGGAGTCGAACTTCGAAATATGATGTAGTGTTGCCGTGGTGACTTTCGAATTTTTCGAATCAAATTTGAAAGCAGGAATTTGCTAGAACATTTTGACTAGGGGCAATTCACATTCGCGAATGCCATTGCCATTCGCAGAATAAGAGGCATTCGTGCCTGTTTTGCCATGTATTTGGATTGCCGCGCGATCATTCGCGCGACGCTCCATAGTGAATGTATTAACACATTCGCACAAACATTCGTAGCCATTCGCTATATAGAAGAATTTATAAACGAACATAAATTTTATTTGAAAGATACGGCATACGAATATTCTCTGGCAAATAATTCATTAATTTTGTCGATACCAAAAGTCTTGAATCGCTCCACCATAAATAAAAAACAAAACAAAATCAGTGTAAAACAGTATTTTCAAACGAAATATTTTTGAGTTTTTCTAAATTTTCGTTCACAAATTCTTCAATATCGTTGATAATTTCACGGTCAATTAAAAATCACGGTCAATATTAAAATTCTGACGAATTATTTTCCGTACATTCCTTCCATATGTATTGAAATGATGATACTTATCTGTGATGTTTACACTTATTTATTGTAAATTCATTTTGTTCTTTGTTAAAGCCATCTACGAGTTGGCGACTTAATATTTTTATCATTGAAATCAAATTTGAATTATTCATCAAATAGCATCAAATGCTCTAGTTACGTTTCAAATCATAGTCCATGTCAACTCAATGCACTCTGCACTCTGCAATCAACATGGATCTGACTTTAGAGACGTAAAACTTCTCGTCAATTTATCTACCGGTATAAATTGAGCGACGACTTTTGTTGTACTAGAGTCTCAAATTAACGCGTAATTAAACGCTTCACATAGCCTTTGTCCCTTGGAAACGTTTACCAAAGGTTATCTTGGACCGTTTGCCATAGACTAATATCAGGCATTTCTATCTTGGTTGCATGACTGTTTTCGTTTTCATGTTCCTACTATTGTGATTACCGCATAATTTACGAAAAGAGCCAGGTTTTTAACGAGGCGAGAACTGATAGTAATGAAAAATTATCGCTACTAGATGTTTATTGTTTTAAATATGTAACAGTCTTGCACTCTTTTCCGGCCAAACCTTAATCAAAAACCCACATTATATTCAGCCAGAGCTTGGCGGTGTTTAATAAAAATAATAATAACATTAGCGATGACTCTGTGTCAAACGCACTTATTTCCAGAATTATTATTAACTGGAATTGTATTATTGGAAAATTTCACTAATTCAGAAAAAAGTTTTTGTATGATATAATTTTTACATTAAATTAGCCTCAATAATGTTCTGTTTACCATTTTAACGACTTGAATTTGCACTGTTTTGACAAGTGTTTTGAAATGTCGTTCAGTTCTAGTTGCATTCGTGCATTCGCAATGCTACTCATTTGCAGTGCCATTCGTAACCATTCGCGAACATTCGCGAATGCTTGTATTTAAATACATTGAATGGTTCCATTCGCATTCGCACGCATTCGTAGCATTTGCAAATGTTTGTATCTAAATGCACGTACTACCATTCGCCCATTCGCACAACTGGCACCATTCGCAGCTCGTGAATCGCCCCTAGCATTTTGAATACTTCACCAGAAAATTGTGACATCTTAAATCTTTCAAGTAGTGGAAGCCTTGTGCAAAATTACATTTCTATAGATGTCACCTCTATTCAAGCCAAGGGGGTAGACACAGTTTTCTAACGTACAAGTTCTGACGAATTTGTCTCATTTTGCACCGAGTAGTTCCGGAAGCATCTATGCATTTTAAATGTAAACTCGAAACTACTCAAAACGCTCAGTTGACTTTGACAGTTCTCTGTGAATACTACACATTACACTGAACCAAATGGCACCGAGTAGCACCAAGTAGATTCTAGTATCGCCGACTGTTTGTTGAGTATGAATTTGTGTCTAACCCTTTGATTCAACCACAAGCAAATCAACATTTCATGACGGAAATAATAATTGCAATTAGCATTTACGGCTTGATACTAGATGTTGGTTCTTTTTCACTTTTAAACAATGTCTCTGAAACCAATTCTAGAACGTGTCACCAATTAATCGATGAATCTTGGAAAATTTCAGGAGTACACAGGGAAAACTGAGTTGATTTTTACGTAGCAAAATGTTTGAAAGTTTCGAATTCCAACACATGTTGAGTTTTTCGCAACAAATGTTTTTTCCATATTGACTCAAGTTTTTGTCGAATTGGACACCAGCTCCCTTACATCGTGTCTAATTTTCAAATTAGGCGCCAATTTTCATTAATCACGATGTTAGGGAGCTGGTGTCTAATTTGACAAATACTTGAGTCAATATGGAAAAAACATTCGTTGCGAAAAACTCAACATGTGTTGGAATTCGACACTTTCAAACATTTTGCTACGTAAAAATCAACTCACTTTTCTCTGTGTAGTTTATTAAATTAAGCACTTGATGCATGGAATTCAGGGGAATTTACATGCCATTTGTAATAATCATTGGTTCAAACAATGCTCAAGATCTAATTTTCGTACTGTGAATTAACTTTATCTCTTCCATGGAAATAAAATATAACATTTCCATACCATTTTGGCAGCTAAGAACAATTAATTAAAACCAGTCTCACAATGAAGTAGTTGGTCACCAATCAATTTTATTTAAATAATGTAGATTGCAATCAAAAGGAAACTCGATACACTTTCATATTTGTTTTTGATAATGGAAATTCGAAAGTAACAGTTGTGTCTTCGATGTGTTGATTTCAAGTTCAATTCAATCGCAGCAGACAGCTACTTGTGCATTTTCTTGTGTCGGTTAAGAGTTTCCTTTTGTGAGAAGCACTGGAGCATATTTCACATAGGCTTTTCGCCAGTGTGGATTCGCATGTGTCACATCAAGTTTGCCTTCGAATCGGCTGCTCTTGCACAAATCGCATTGGTGTCCGCGTCGCTTGCAGTTGGCTTCATGATTTTCCTTTTCCTTCTGATGTGCGAAGTTCTTGAAGCAAGATGCACACTTGAATTTCGATGGACGTGGATTGATGTGAGTTTTGCGGTGACGTGTTAAATTACTTCCTTGATTGCATTTTTTTGAGCATTGGTCGCATTCGAATGGTCTCTCGCCGGCATGCACACGCAGATGAACTTTCAAATTAAACTTTTTATCACGGAGGATGATAGTCCGACAAGTGACGCTCCAACAACTGTGCATTTCAAGCCAAATATCAAAAATTCCAGTTTTTGCGTCACGAGTATATATACAGTAAAAATGCTATTTTCTCAGGACACTATTTGGGCCCCGGCATGTTAGGTACCGTTGGAAAGGTCTTGGCCCAAATAGTCGGAAACATTATATTCCCCATGCCAAAAGTATGGTCTAGGCAGAAACATAGCGGTTGGAAAATTTCGATAAATTTTCAAATCTATACCCATATCTTACGAAGGGGGTACCCAGGGGGTGGTCTGAGGTGTCCAAGAGAAGCTCCTCCTAGTCACCTTTCCAACGCCGGTCTAAGTGCCCCGATTGGTCCAAAAACGAAAAAGTTATGAGCATTGGTAGTTTGATCTTGATTTTCTATGAAAGTATTGATTTGGATGTGCGTCCGTTCGTTCGTCCGTACCTTCTTCGGTTTCCGATGCGCATATGCCTTAGTTGTAGCTAGTGTCGGGGCACGTTGAAATCCGTCCTCAGATTGACATTTGCATAACAGGAGAGCTGGCTATGGCTTCGCTAGCCTGCATGTATACGATTTTTTCAAGTATTTATTTCGCACACTAGATCAACTCAGACACCCATCGGGCAAAGTCAGCTCGTAATTATTTGAGAAGACCTTCAAAAAGTTCAATACACACATGCCAATGTTTATGTGATATAAAAGAAAAATAGTCGATTTTTATGAAAAATCGACCCCCTTAAATTTCACACCAAATGCGATTTCTCAAAAATCAGCCCTACAATATTTTACCAAAAACTGAGCGTTTGTAGCCGGCCACCATACCAACAAAATGGCATATGCCACATATCCGGGAAAATTCGTATTTCGAAGTTCTGGGCATAGGCACTTCATCAATGAACGGAATTTGTACGAAGAGTCGCATTCTACGATGAAATTGCTGCCAAAAATACGCATCTACTGGCTGAAAAAGGCTCACGAAAGACCATATCCGCTCAATTTTCGACGAGCAATCGATTAAAAGCGGTCACGATGTGATCTGAGGGCATTTCATGGTCGAAAAATAGGTCGGATTGAAGCAAATTTTTCAACTTGCTCTATTTTCACTGAAAATGATGTTTTTGTTCGGGAAACACGTGAAATAGACCTCTGACGATATTTTGGTCTTAGAAAACTGCTATTTTTCCGTGAAAATAATGGGAGTCCACGAACACTTGAATATCCATTTCGTTGTCATTTTGGTCATAAATCGGCATTTTGGCATCTGAATGTATGAAATTGGACTTTTGCTCGGGGGATACATAAAAAATGCACTTTCCAGAGATTTGGTGGTTAGGAACTAATATTTTTTAATGAAATAATGAGAATCCACAATCGTTTCAACACTCTTTTTATGGTTATTTTGAAATTTAATCATATTTTACCGCATTTTATGTGTGCAATTAGAGGAAATTGGGACTTTTTCAATGGTAGTGGAAATTAGATAGTGCAATCTCCAGAACTTGTGAAATTAGAATGCGAATGTGTTACTCAGACATACTTCTGCTAAAAATGTATTTTTCCAAATGAAAAAATGCCTTACAAAAGTAGTGATATCAGATGAAAAACCTCTAGACGAGGTTAAAATGGAGTGACGCTCCTGTGCGTGGATTTACCAATTAAAATGACTGATATCATTTTGAGTTACGCTAGGACGCTGTATTATCACTACATACGAGGTTCAAAAGTATTTTTGGCATTCACTATTGTGAAAATTTACTCACAATAGGGAAAAATATCTTGCGTCACGACTTTTAGACGGCAATACGCTTGGAAACTTGATCTAAAATCAAAAGTCGTGACGGAAGATATTTTTCCTTATTGTGAGTAAATTTTCACAATAGTGATTGCGAAAAATACTTTTGAACCTCGTATGTAGTGATAATACAGCGTCCTAGCGTCACTCAAAATGATATCAGTCATTTTGAGTGCTAAATCCACGCACAGGAGCGTCACACCATTTTAACCTCGTCTAGAGGTTTTTCATCTTTTCGATATTGCAAAATTGAATTGGCCGAAAAAATGAACTCAGCGAATAAATTACAAAACACGAATTTTGTGTTGAAATGACTCTGTTGAGCAGAGCAAAAATGACGTCGCGAATAAAAGAAAATATTTCGTTTGACGTGTAGTCGATGCCCTGCGATGTGCTTTGTGCTGAAACGACGATGAAATAGCGATGAACGAACAGTGCACACAGTCACACGCTGCAATGACAGGTGTCAAAAGTGTAACTTCGAAATATGGTGTAGTGTTACCGCGACGACTTTCGAATTTTTCGATCAATGCAGATTGTCTAGTTAGAAAATGTATGAATTCCTATGATGCGTTAACATTCAATTTGTATCGAAATGAGTCATGCAGCTTTTCCACAGCGAATTTACACGCTATTTGTCATAATCAATGATTCAAGCACTCGTTTTCGTGCTGTGAATGAACTTTTTTTAAATTTTCGATATTTTCCAAAAATATGTTCGAAAAAAATTTCGCAAATATTTTGGCGATATTTAGCTTTATCGTAAATATTACGTAAATATTTCGCCGTATTATCGTGCATAAATAAATAAATATTCCGAAATTTTTCATAAATATTTTTGGTTGCCTTGGTGATGCATTCACCAAGCGACACGGAGAATTCGACTCTATGCATTACTGCTGAGTTGCTATGTCTGTACGTGTTTGTTCGTGTGTGCAAAACCATCAGAATCGTATTTGTTTTTATTAATGAAAATTCGAAAATAAAAGTTGTGTCTTCGATGTGTTGATTGCAGGATAAAGGTGTTGTTCTTTGGAAGCAGACATCTACTTGTGAACTTTCTTGTGTTTGTTGAGATGAGCCTTTTGCGAGAAGCACTTCGAGCATATTACACATCGGAAAGGCTTTTCACCAGTGTGAACTCGCATGTGGCTCATCAAATGTATTTTTTGATCAGTTGTGTAGCTCTTGCATAAGTCGCATCGGTATCCGCGTCGCTTGCAGTTGGCTTCATGATCTTCTTTTTTCTTCTGTTGTGCGAAGTTTTTGAAGCAAGATGAACACTTGAATTTCAACGGACGAGGATTGACGTGAGTTTTGTGGTGGGTTTTTAAAGCGCTTGATTGCTTGAATTTCTTCGAGCATTGATCGCATTCGAATGGCCTTTTGCCGGTATGCACGCGCAGATGATTTTTCAAATCCTTCTTATCCAATGTAGAGAGTTCCTTGCACAGATGACACTCGTAGCGACGCACCTTGCAACCGGTCTCATGTTTCACTTTCTCCTCGCTGAGATGAAATCCTTGCAAACAAATTGAGCAGCTGAACCGAAATTCATCGACGTGTGTTTCAATGTGCGATTGGAGACTCCGTTTTGTTGTGAATCGTTTTGGACAAACGCTGCATGGAATTGGTCGTTCGCCAGTGTGCTTAAGCATGTGCCTTGTCAAATTGCTTTTGTAAGAAGCGTGATAGTCGCACAATGAACACTTGTGTCGCTTTCCATTTGCCTTGCCTTCAGCTAGCACCTTGTTGATACCAAAACTTTTTGCTTTGCCACTTTTCCCGGTTTTGGCTGTAAATTTCTTCGCCGCAAAATGGTGATTTGATCCACCTGATTTCGCTTTCGGGAAACGCTTCTTTGCATTGCTTTGTAGCCTTTCATCTTTGTTAGAGCTCATCCGTGGAACTTGATTCGCCTCTTCCTTCATCTTTTCAATCTTCACTTCCGATTTCATCTCATCCAGATCGTGGAAACCAAAGCAATCGTCGCTGTCATCCGCTTCTTCCCCACCAATCGAATTGTCGAGCAACCCAATGGCTGGGTGTATTGATCGCGACACCATCAATATTTCGTCGGGGCTTTCAGACTCTTGTTTGACGGTTGGCTCCAGTTTGATTTGCATTCCGCACGAAATCAATGCGTTTTTCAACGCGATGGCATCGAATTTGTGTTTATCAGGCGGCTCTGTACCGTGACCATTCATTGCGATGCAATTTCGGTGCTGTCAATCAGAAATCAGAATGATTGTTCATTAGAAACCACACATGAAACAAACACTTGAGAAACTACACTTTGACTATGAAACTCACCTTTTCTTCACAAAATAGGCTTTTGATTTCGATGAAGCAAAAATAAAATGACCAAAAATCAAAACTCGCCGAATGAACTCGGCAGCGTACAGATTTTGTGTTAGACTGACTTTGGCAGAGCAAAAATGGCGTCGTGAAAGAATGAAAATATTTATTGAGTTGAACTAATCGTGTAGTCGATGCACGGTGACATGAGCTATTTGCGGATGCGCTGATGAAATAGGTATGGATGAATAGCGCCACACAGTCACACACTCCAATGACAGGAGCCGATCTTCGAAATATGGTGTAGTGTTACCGCATCGACTTTCCAATTTTTCGATGAGTTCGGATGGTCTATATCGAAAATGAAGAAGTAATAATTTGTACTTACAGAGCAGCGGCGATTTCATTTCTGAAAATTATTTTACATCTTGAATGAAATTTGAATGGAAGAAATTCGTTATACATTTTGAATTTTACACCGAAAAATCCATCCATTTTAGACATCTTACCTTGGAATGGCCGGAGTTTAGCGCAAAATCGCATTTGATAGATGTCACCTCTATTTGGACGCAAACAAATAGTCTATATCTAGTCTTTTGAAAAGTCACAAAATAATTGCCATTTCAATTTGAAGAAGCACTGACGTCTTCGTATTTTCGAAAATGTTTTTGAAACCAATTTTAAAACTTGGCACCAAATATCTGTGGTTGAGCACCACTCTCAATGGTGTGTGTTTCATAGACTTTGTATTGAAATATGTAGAGTATGTCTTCAAGCGGTGAGTAAATCCGAAAAAATTTATTTATTTCAACAAATAAGTATTCATAACCAGAGAATCATTTCAGCATAGATATTCAATTTTCTGATTGGATCTCAGTAACTGAATGCAGTGACTACGAACGTCGCTGTGTGTAAACGAGCGCTCTACATTCAAGCGCGGACATGCATATATATTGGTTAACACATAATCGGAGTGAGTGTGCGTGCGAAAGGAGAGAAGAGAGGAGAGACGAACGAAATATATCGCATTGAACGATGAGAGTGAACGTCTCTTGATACAGTGTGAGTGTGGCGATTCGCCACTGGCGACAAGTAGTCAGAATATAATTTTTAATGATTTAGGTTGAATCATGACGAATTTTTAGAATGTTCAGAATGTTTATTACGAATGATCTTTCTTTTGTTTATACAGTGAATATGCTTTGAGGCTATGAGAATCAGTCTTTCGACTATACAACATATGATATTTTTCTTATGGTCTAGGTTGGATATTAATTAATATAATTATGAAAATTGGGATTGTGTTTGTGGAAAATCGATGAAAAACCACAATATGACTGAGTTTTAATGACGAATCTCGATGAATTGTATCAAAAACATTTGGGAGAAATCGAAATTTTTTCGTCATTTTTTTCATTATAAAACGGCAAATAACAGAGTTGTTGGATTCCAAGGTGTCATCTTATCGAGCCTCAGATGATTCAGAAGTTTTTACTAATCTTGTTGTCGGTTTGTATTCAAAAATTGCGTGAATGAAATATTGGCTGAGCTGAAAGCACAGGTACTGCATATAAGCGTCTGACAACTCACTTCTAGCGCTGCGAAACAAGTGTCAAAAGTTGTGACTTAGATCATTCAATGTTTAGTGCAAACTATTGAGAGAAAAATAAAAATGTCACGAATGTGCAAAATTGATTTGAGCGTAGCAGGTGATAAACATCAATTTTATGAGTAAAAATATTCTTTTTTTATTACAGAACATTGTTGATGAGTTCATTCATTCACGTTCATGAGTGCGTCAAACGACGTAAACTTATTGAAATAGATTTCATTGAATGAGCTCATCGCAAATTCGTGTTTTACTTTGTTTTGTTAGTGTTATGCATAGGTTGCGGCTGGAATTGAATCCTATGGAGCAAGTGGATCCGACCTGGTTCAATGTGTTCTAGAAGTGAAGTCCTCTAGTACGCATCCCTTTTGGGATACTAAATCGCATTATTTTTGCCGAATTTCGCTCGGATCAACCTCAAATTTGACTAGGTAAATCCGGAAGGGAATGTGAATTTTGTACCGCAAATACGTTAAAATATCGCAACGCATACTCGTCAGCAGCTGATATCAGCAGCAAAAAATCGAAAAAAATGTATGGTGTGACTATAAAATTTATAGCATTAATTGTAATATTCGGTGAGTGCCACTAAAAAAATATCCACACTCATCTAGTGCGTGAGACGCATGGTCACTTATTTAGTGAGTGAGACGCATGCGGATGGGATGAAGCAAAGCGAAAGGGAAGCGCGCAACTGGAACATAGAGTCAATGGGTACTACGTGTTTGTGTTTGTGTCCGTATTCCAACGACGGAGTGACGAAATGTATGCGCGCTATATCGTTTGTTCGTATGGAGTTGCCCGCTTCTCTTTCGCTTTGCTTCATCTCATCCGCGTGCGTCTCACTCACTAAATGAGTGGCCATGCGTCTCACGCACTAGATGAGTGTGGATATTTTTTTAGTGGCACTCAGCGAATTTTACAATGTATGGTAGCTTGGGAATTGAATATCGGATTAAGCTGAAATTTTGACAGGGTTCTAGTAAAGGATTGAGCTTTCTAAAAGTAATGTGAGTTTTATGATAATACCACTATTTGAATGTTAGTCTTGGAACTTTTTGTAGAAAGTAAATGAACAACTTGAGTAAACTCAATGTACTGAATATATTTTCCAAATATATTTCTTTTTATATTTTTAATAATTTCAATGTTTACTACGATCAATGACTACTTTGATCTCAATGTAGTAAAATGTAGTAAATATGCATGCGCTGATCAACCAGCCACATAAATTCATATTCAAGGCTGCGCAATAGCATAGCTTCAAATAGCATCAAGTATATTTAATGCTTTGCCTAATATACTAGCATAACGCACACACACAGCTGCCGCACACACTTCTTCCGCGCGCAAATAGTTGCGTACACAGCCATCGCAACCAACTCACACAAAACCTGCTGACAAACAAAAATTTTAACGAAAATATCAAGAAAAAATGAAAAACTAATGAAACCATTGAGTGTTTTAAGTTAACTAATCAATTATATGCACGTGGAAAAAAGTTGAAAAGTTAAAGTCGCGACTTTAAGTTAAAGTCTGAGCACTTGGAATGGGCGTAATGATCAAGTGTTAGAAACTAGCCATACATTCAATGGTGAAGAGCGCAATTTCCAATTAGGAAAAAACAAGATGTCGCTAAAACTAGGGGCTAGGAACAAGTTGTGAGATTCACATAGATTCGCATATATTCATGTGTTCGTGGCTTTGTTATTGTTGTTGTACACTCACTGCGCTGCGAATGTCTCGTATACACAATCACACGAATTCACAAATATTCGTACGGATTCGTCTCAAGCGCTTGCGTTCTTACCCCCTAGTCTTTTTAATAACACTGCAGATTAAAACTACAGTTCTAATGAATAAATAATATGGATATTAAAATATATTATTCTTCAGTACAAAAAAGGTGCCTAAAGAGTTTTGAAAATTTCTTAGAAAAAAAAAACAGATCAGTAGCCCATATTCCATTGAGTACCTACATTCCATGTTAAAAACAAACGCAAACTTCTCCTCTTGTGTGTCGTAGAAATTCATATTTCGCCTGGAAATCTTCTAATAGCAGAAATTGTTCAATAGTTCAACATTCTATTATTACGTAAATTGGCACATGAAACAAAACAATTATAATGCTGAACAGTGAACAATTATTTTGATATTTTTTTACTTGCTGGACCATTTTAAAATTAGCTTCTAATTAAAATTTAGATTAGTGCATGCACAATAAGTGCTTGCGTTTATCGTGTGACGCGAGCGGTATGTATTATGCCGCTACACCTTGCTCAGCAGCTTAATGAAGAAGTGTCTGTTTATTTTCATCATTCATAAACTCCAATTCTGTCGAACGTGTTAAGGACATCCACGTTACCTGAAAAATAACACAAATTAATGAAAATGATCAACGTTCTGCATCTTCGTTGGTGAAACAATACCAATTTCATAAGCTATATTAAAGGCTGTCTTCCCATAACTGTCTTTATGTTTGGGATTGGCTCCTGCCTTGAGCAGTTGATCAATGATAACCTTGTGACCTGAAAAAATAAGGCCGATCGATGAAAAATATCAAAACAATTTTCTATTCAGTAAATATAACATTACCTTTCATTGCGGCTAAATGAAGAGGTGTCCGCCCAAAATCATTTGTTGCATTAACATCTGCTCCTTTCTCAATTAGCTTTTTAACGTCGGCCAAATTACCTGAAACAAATCAATGAAATAGATTCAATCAATTTTAGATTTGGTGAGCATAGTTTTTCAGAGCTACCATTCTCAGCAGCGATATGAAGAGCAGCGATATGAAGAGCTTTTCGGCCGCTTTCGTCTTTTTTGTTTACTAAAAATTGAAAGAAAAATAGATCAGTGAAGTGAATCGAGAGAGAATGTTTTACATTCGTGAGATGAACTTTGCCACTCTTTCTTGTCAAAAATGATAGGGAAATGAGTATTCCGTTAATTGGAGAAACTCTTCAATTCCACAGAAAAAGTGGAATACGTCATGTCGGAAACCCATATAATATTAACCCTTTGATGCACAATTTTTTGTTTTTGAATCATTTTGATATATGTTTTGTGCCACGATAAATAGAGAAAAACCTCATACTTAGATTTTTGAAAAATTGCGTATTTGTCGAGAAAATCGGAAAAGAGTCAAAAGTGTCAAATCACTATAAAAGCTTGAAAAAATTAAATTTCATAAAACTAATGATGCAGAAAGTTAAATTGATGTGTTTTGGTCCTACGAGTCCTAATTTGACAATTGAAAAGAATGAACAAACCCACAAGATAAGAGGGAGAAAAATGTGGAATTCTGCTATAATTTCGCATTTTTTTTACAGCAGTACATGAACAGAAAAAACTTTCCATTCAGCCAGCCAATTGTAGCCTGTAAAGTATCAAATGAAAGCTAGTTCAATTCCCTACATTTGTTTCCAAACAGGAATTTAAAAATATTCAGTGGTTTCATAGCTATAGCGTCTGGCGTATCTGGTTATTTTAGAAACCGAAATGTGATAAAGGGTTAAGCAGTTTTTTTTTTGAAAATATAAATACCAGAGATAAGGTAAGACATGCATCAGATAGCTTTGATGTGCATCGTGAAATTATGTTTCAGTTTTATTGAAGCGAATCACTCAGCGGTGAACTTCAAAAAAAGATTGCGTACTAGTGTTGTGTTTAAAAAAACAACAACTATAACGTCAGAGATAAATACTTATTTCAGATAGGGAATACGAATATCACAATGACGATTAGAACAGGTGCATCAACGGAGTGAACTCTTTAGACTTTCATGGAACCCTTAACGCTCATCTTTGCTTTGAGTTGATCTCCATATTTTTTGAATGCACGCGTTCAATTTTATTCTCGATTTTTTCTCAATTCGTTCGAATGTAGAAGAATTGTGAATTGAAACGATCGCCTGTATATAAAATATACACAGTGCAGCTCACAACATGGGCTTTCAAGTTGAAAGTTTCAACATGTTGATCGCTGTTGCTGTGTCACATACACAAACATTTGCGCTGTTTTGTTCATTGTCAAACATGCTACACACAGCACGGATCCTTTGCTACACAATCTGCCAGCTAAGACAATACGCGTAACTAGCGCCACCTAACGAACCGTACCTGCGACAACATTTAATCAAACAGTGGTTGGGACATAATTTGTGGTTACAATAGCACGTTCATATGGTAACGGTACGCGTCGCGACTCGCGAGTTGGCGTTAGTTTCTAAGTGTTTTTTATGGAGATTCCCCTTGCTGTCAGACTGTGTCTTGCTAGATTAAATGGAAGTGCCTTCGTACATCACATCGTGTTTTATATGAGCGAAAATGTAATACAGAAAAGTTGCGCGGAAAAATGTCGATGATGAATGAGCGGAAAAGGGATAGCTATATACTCTGAAAAAACTGATGTGGGGTTATGTTAAACTGTTTGTGTTGACATTTAAGAAATTATAATATAATAAATAAAACCATAATTTATTTAATTAATATATATTTAAAATTATTTATATATCTATGTGATTAATAACTAAATTTTTCAATGTTTCTCTTATATATTCAATTTTATCAATGTACGGAAATTTCGTGAAAGATTTGTCCAATGAACTTTTTGATGTTACTCCTTTAACAATCATTATTATCAAATTGAATAATGCAATTACCCCACAAGAAATGTACTCTTCTTGAGAAACAAAAGAATCTTTGAAACGTATATAATTTTTGAGATCGTTTAAAAATGGATATAGTCTTTTAACTACCTCCAGTTGTTCTTTTGACACTATTTTTCTAATGAAACTATCATATACATATATCATAAGATCAACAGGGTTATAGTATAAACATATCCAATAAACTGAGCTTCTATCTTCTTCTTGATCTCTTCAATTTTATAATCTCCAGAAAAAATACAAAGTGTCGAATCCAAAAGTTGCCAGAATTTACGGTTTACCAAAGATACATAAAGCCGGAAACAAAATGAGGCCGATTGTATCTAGTATCGGGACCACTGACTATCTCATTGCTAAATGGCTAGTGAAAGAAGTCAAAAAACTGCCACCTTTTGAGAGTTTTTCAGTCAGAAACTCAATTGACTTCGCTGAAAAAATTGAAAATGTTGTTGTGAATTGTGATGAGACTAAAATTTCATTTGATGTGTGTTCTTTATTTCCAAGTATTCCAATTGATGTTGCATTGAAGGAATTTGAAAAATATTTAGAGCAAATTGATATTCCATTCGAACAAAAATCAGTTTATTACCAAGCAGCACGTATGTGTATGGATCATAGCTATTTTCAATTTCGTGATTCGTTTTATCATGTGTCGACTGGAACTAACATGGGAAATCCGCTTAGCCCATTGATTAGTGAGTTATTCATGTCGGCATTCGAACGAAAATTAAAACAAGAAAACTTGCTCCCCAGAATCTGGTGGAGATATGTAGACGATGTTTTCGCGATAATAAAGAAAGACGAAATTGACTCAGTGTTAAACGTGCTCAACAATCGATTCGATTCGATTAAATTTACGTGTGAGAAGGAGGATGATAAATGTAAATTATCGTTTTTGGACATGGAATTGTCAACTTCTGTGGACAATAAAATTGATATTGCCATTTACCACAAACCCACTGACACTTTGAGAACAATAACTAGTGATTCAAACTGTAGCATGCAACACAAATTGGCTGCGTATCATTCAATGGTTCATCGATTGTGTCGAATGAAACTCTCAGCACAAAATTACATGACTGAATACGCTCGCATAAAACAAATGGCGAAAATAAATGGCTTCAAAGGAGATTTGGTCGACGTGTTGATAAAAAAACATTTAGACAAAATAAACAAATTTAATTTATCGACATTGTTTTCGCAAAACACGCCAGAAGTGGAAAAAGTTAGAGTTGCTTTGCCATATATCCCACAAATTATGAACAAGATAAAAAATAAGTTTCGTGAATATAATTTAACCATTGTGTATACGAATCAAACCAAAATAATGAATTTGTTGGGTTCAACCAAAGACACAATTGATTCTTTACACAAATCTGGCATTTATGCTATTCAGTGCCCCGTTTGTATGTGTGAATACATTGGACAAACGAAACGTAACATTTCAGTTCGTTTCCGTGAACATTGTTTGTGCATAAAAAACAAACAGGGCTACCGCTCTGCCTTAGCATTGCATGCATTGAACAGCGGTCATTTGAACATCGACATAAGCAACTTACGGTTGGTGAAAGAGATAGGCGACGCGCGCAAATTAGACGCATACGAAAGTTACTTTATTCAGAGGAGCAACAACGCATTGAATCTGGATAACGGGAACATCGAGTCAAATTTGCTGTCTCGGTTGCTATGATGCTACACCGACCGATGTTTTTACGTGACAACCGACGACTTTTCTGTTTAGTCGTGATGCTGATGATGGTATGATAATACCGAAATGCATTCAAGGTACTCTTTTCAAATTCTTTTGTTTTAAATGAATTGAAAATATTGAATTAGTGAAAACAATAAGGTGTGATTCAATTGTTTGTTGAGAAAAAATACAGTCCGGGTGGAACATTATTGATTTTGATAAAAATAATTTTAATAAAATACAAAAATGTATACTTCGATTGAAACTACATTCCATGTAGTGCTTGAATGAATAATTTGATGGAAAAATCAAATTAACGTAAAAAAACCATTTTAAATAACGCAAAAAGAACGCAGAGAGGAGCGAAGCGACGATCTGCGGTCTTGTTTGAATTTGTAGTGAAAAAAAAGTTAGAAATATATTTAGTACCAGAAGACAATCTTTTTGAATTCTTGTTGTGAAATAAATGACAACACAAACAGTTTAACATAACCCTACATCAGTTTTTTTCAGAGTAGAATACTGTATAATAATCTATAGTGAACTATATAGCTATCTCTTTTCATTTGACATTTTTTCGCGCATCTTTTCTGTACTACATTTTTGCTTCAAACTACTCATATGTGGAATAGTGAGAACGAAACTTAAAAAAAGAAATGGAGCTTCAATCTTACCTTTTGTTATGGCTCCCTTCACTTTGGTGACAGGCCCACCCTCAGTTTGCTTCAAGTTGAAAATTAGAAACGAATAAAGGATAATTAGTTTGGAATAACCAAATTGAATGAATTGACATGTAAAATTAATGGATTTTTGAAACAAAAAAAAAACATTTGTAGAAATAAAATGTCGGGTAAAGAACCGTGTTGTACACTGAAGATCTCGTATCAGTTTCGTGAAAAATGTAAAATAAAAACGAACATATATGCATTTTTAAGCTTATTTTGAGGTCGAATGAAATTGCCTCTTCATAAGGTATAATTTTGTTTCGATTACTTTCTTCGTTTTCGAAAAGTCAATTTGTACGGAAAATGAAAAAAAGCTCTTCATGTCATCAATCGACCCGATGAAAAAAAATGTACAGAAAAAGTTGTAAGTTACCATGAATTGGTCTCCCAAAACCGCAACCAGAACCAAACAAACTAAACGGAGAGAAAATATTGATTAAAAGACAATGAGTGACTGAAATCTCAAGTATTGTCAAAAATGAAAATTAAAAAAAAAATGAAGGAAAAAAGAACTTAGAAGAGACTCACCCATCAATTGCTTAGACATGTTTAAAGTCGAATCACTTGAACAATAACTAAATTTCCACGAATTCGGTGTATCATTTATAGTCAAAAATTAGATGTTGCAAACTTGTCATCATTATGACACGTACAGCAAAACAAAATTCCTTACGACTGAAATCGAAAACAAATTATTTGAAAACATGTTTTTAATTCGAGCTTCTTGCGTCAATTTCCGCGTTTCGTTATTTTGACAGGTGCAAATGTTTGGATATGTAAATGAACTCGTATTGACGCACAAATTTTTCTGGCTGATTTCAAAAACAAATTATTTTTAGACAATTTGTTCCTCATTGGAGCTTGTGGTTCTTAGTTATGAAAAATTCCAGGCGAATAATGAGTTCATTTATATATCAAAACACCTGGGCTGGAATTCTAAGTCATTCCACCAAAATCATTCGGAATTATTTTTTTCGTACATAAGACCATATTGGAGTGAAAGAGAGAGATTCCACTATTTTTCAGCGTTCCACTGTAATTATTTCTCACACATTCCACTCTTCCTTGAGTTATCGGAATAATTCCGGTGGAATGCTGAAAAATAGTGGAATCTCTCTCTTTCACTCCAATATGGCTTATATACGAAAAAAATAATTCCGAACGATTTTGGTGGAATGACTTAGAATTCCACCCCTGTACCTGTGTATTCCAACCACCAATAATTGGGAAAATAACAAAACGCGAGAATTGACGCAAGAAGATCGAATTAGAACCATCTTTTCAAATAATTTGTTCTCGAATTCAGTCGTAAGCAATTTTGTTTTGCTGTACGTGTCATAATTTCATGCATTTTCAGTTAAGTCGATTTTTAAATCGAATATTTGCGATACTTACATGAATCTCCGGGACTTCTTAGAGTCTTCGAGGAAGCCACATTTACCACTTTATCTATATATTTTGTACACGATTAAAAACATACTTCTACTCAACCGATTTGGCTCGCACTTATACCAATCGAAAGGTAATGTAACGTAGATCTAAATCAAAAGATCTAATTTTTGACTATTCTTGTAAACATATCGTCATTTTGACACGTATAGCAAAACAAAATTCCTTGCGACTGAATTCGAGAATAAATAATCAAAAAAAATTGTTTTTCATTCGAGCTTATTGCGTCATTTCTCGCTTTTTATCCATTTACATATGTTTCAATGGTTGGAATGCACAGATGTAGATGTGTAAATATGTAAATGATTAGAAGATTTAAACAAGATGTGGAAAAACGAGAAAAATACATGAAGTTGAGTCGCACTAAAAATGCAAAAACGGCGAATGACCACCAATTTATTGGATTTCCATTTTTATTTAGATTTTTTTTTAAAGTCAATTTAATAAATAATTCTATATTCAAAATTATGTCGAATGAAATTGTTGCAGGTATTCTTTTATGTACCGTTCATCCACAATTTGAATTCTCAAATATTCTGATAGAATTCTAGATATGGTTTTTATCAAGACATATTTATTAATCGTGTGCAGTTCTATTTCATTTATTACTTTGAGTGAAAATCCAAATTGTAATTGATTGGACACAATAAAATCGTCAATACTGAGTAAGTAGAGGGAATTTTGAGAAGTTATCAATACATTGGAAGCCAATTCTAACGATCATAATGTAGAAATGCTGTGAAGCTATTAATTAATTAAATAAAACAATTTAGTTTCCTTAACGAATAAAATAAAATGTAATTCTGAATAATTTGATATGCTGTGTTCAAATGAGTTGTTTACTGTTCTACGGTCGATGGGAGAGAGAGAGTGAGAGCTGAAAGCTATGCTGTATGTATGTATATAAGTATGCGTGTCCATTTTCGTATTTAGACTGACATTTGACATCTCGTATTCTGCGCAAATTAAGTGTGAACGGTGTATAATTTTAAGGCTCGTTATTCAACACTCCTCCTTGTTCACACTAAATTACATTTAGCCCTTAAATAATCATGTTTTACAAATGACAATGGTTTAGTTAATAAATCTGCAATCATTTCTTCAGTAGGACAATATAAACAATCAATTAAATGTTTCTTAACTAAATCTCTAATCGTGTCGATGTGCTTTGTTTTGTATGAAAATTTGTGATCACGAACTAAATCGATGCAACTTTGGTTGTCTTCCTCCATAGAAAATTCGCGCTCGAGCATAGTAAGCGTCGACACTAAGAACGGTTGGTCTGACGCTCTGTGTGTACAGTATAAGGCAAAACAACACTACTACATGCGCGCATTGCTTCATCACACACAGTTCGTTATAGTGACCGCGCTCGAAGAGTGTGCAAAGGAGAAATAATACATAAGTACGACGCTCATCTGACACCTCGTCACACAGATCGTTCTCATATAAGAGCGCCGTATGTATGTATTATTTCCCCTTTACACACTTTTCGAGCGCGGTCACTATAACGAACTGTGTGTGACGAAGCGTCGCGCGCATGTAGTAGTGTCGTTCTGCCTTATACTGTACACACAGAGTGTCAGACCAACCATTCTTAGTGTCGACGCTTACTATGCTCGAGCGCGAATTTTCTATGGAGTCGTAGATCACACTTGGCGTTGAAATCATTTCATGCATCTCCTCCAAAAGTTGACGTAGCCACTTGATTCCTACAATGCTTCGGAAATGGAAATGAATTGCGCTTTACACGACGAACCAGCGACTGTGTTACATGACCAACTGATTGTACCGCCGTTGAAGAATATGATTCTCCCGCTGTTTGATTTTCTGTCGATACGATCATCGGCCCAAATCGCATCAGCATAAGCGTGTAACGATGAATTTTCCAAGCTGATGTTACTGAGTTTCAGTTTCAAGTTGTGTGTTGACTTTAGGTATTTCACAACTCGCTTCAGCTTTTCCCAATCTTCAGTTGTTGGCTTGGATACTTTTTGCGCTAAAATGCTCACGCTCGCTGAAATGTCTGGTCTCGAATTGACGGACAAATATAGCAATCGAACAACCAATTCGCCTGTACTTCGTATTGCTATCAAGTTGACTAGACGAATCATCACTCTTTCCGTAGCTGACGTCTAATGGTGTTTTCGATGGTTTCGCATCCATGAGCCCAAAATCAGATGCGATTTGCTTGATGTACGATGACTGACTCAGCTCAAAATTTCCGTTATTGTCTTTGGTAACTTGAATGCTCAAATAATGCCGTATCGTGCCCAAATTTCGCATTTTAAAATGTGACTTGAAAATGCTCTCGATGTGGTTTAATTGCTGTGGTGTTTGGCATGCAACGATCAAATCATCAACGTAAACAATGACATAACAAAACTGACCTGATACTTGTTTTGTGTAAAGGCACGGATCGTTGTAGCTCTGATGAAAAGCCGCTTCGATGAGTACGTTGTGTAATGCGCTATACCACGATCGAGCTGCTTGCTTCAGCCCGTAAATATTTTTCTTCAATAGGCAAACTTTCGATTCATCTTCGTTGTGAAACCCTTGTGGCTGTTTCATATAAATGATTTCATTCAATTTGCCATTCAAGAATGCTGTTTTGGCGTCCAGATGGTAAACGTGCATTTTTCGTTTCGCTGCCACTGACAATAGCGTTTTGATTGTTGTGATCGACACAATCGGTGCAAAGACTTCATCATAGTCCTCTCCGTGTTTTTGTGAGAAGCCTTGTGCCACGAAACGCGCTTTGTAACGCACTATTTCTCCATCGGCTCCCGTCTTCGCCTTGAAAACCCACTTGCTGCCGATAGCTGCCTTTCCTTTCGGTAAATCGACCAATTCCCACGTACCGTTGTAAGTGTGTGACTCTATCTCTTCTTGCATTGCTGTGAGCCACTGAACCCTCTCATCACTTTCAATTGCTTCGCCGTATGACTTTGGTTCGATGGCTTCTTGTGCGATAAACAATTCGTCAATCAGACGCGACGGTGGAATTCCATTTGTTGATCGTTCTGAAACTCGTGGAACAACCCTTTCATTTTCGGTATTTTCGGAATTCTCGATCAGACAGCTATCAGTCTCCTCCTGAATTGTCACATTATCCTCCTGAATCAGTGACTTATGTGACGATGTCAACAGTTCTACTGGAACCAATTCCTCATCAGATGTGATTGTGTTCAGTGAGCAAAACTTGACGTCGCGACTGATAACGACACTTTTTGTGTTGGTGTTGTAGCATCGGTAAGTGAAGATTCAAGTGAAAAATCGGTTCAAGTGAATTTCTACAAGAAATTTAAAGTGCAACACTCGCCAAAGAGTCAAATTTCAAAAAACTCGACAGAGAGTCATTATTTAAAGTAAAATAATGTGCAGAAAAAGAAGGAAAAAATGAGTGAAAAAGCTGATTTACTCGAAAAAAAGCCCAATTGGCCGACGACATAAAAAAAGTACATGTGTCATATAAAAAAGAGCCAAAAGGTCTTCTCAAAAAACGTGAACGCTTCGTTGGGGCAAAAAAAATGCAAGATCTTTTGGATTTGTACAAACAAAACAATGATGAGCTGACACAGTTAGAAGGCGAAGAAGGTGGAAGTTCGATGCAAGAGTCATTCAACGAAACAAAGCTATAATACGATGATTTATGTGCCAATGTGCAGTTGAAATTAGGCAAACCATTAAGCAAATTTATTTCGGTTCAATCAAACGATGACGAAAATGAAAAAGAAAAAGAAGAAGAAGTAATAGAAGAAAATGAATCAGACGAAAATCACTATGATGAACCAGAAACGGATGATATTTTTGCTACACCAAAACCATTGCCAAAGTCACTCTATTCACGTTTCGTATTACGCGACAAAGAAATGAAAGATAAAATAGAAGAAAAAGTCGACCAAGGCAAAATTATTCAACAGACATCTCGATGTAATTGAAGAAAGCATAAAAAATAACATGCATTCGCGAGCACAAATGTCAATAAAAAATATTGAAGCAAAATGCAACGATTTGTCTGAATATATGGATGAACTAAATTTTGTAATGGGAGACGATGCAGTCGATTATGAGGAGATATTTAATGCAACATGGTCGAGATATGATCAGCTGTCGGTAGATGTATACAAGGAAAAGCAAGAAAAAACAACACAGCTGAAACTGAAACCAATCGAAATTCCATATTTCAATGGGTCAACAAAAATGTGGCCAACATATAGCGGTCTGTTCAAAACAATGGTATTAGAAAACAGTGCATTGACAGAATGTGAAAAAATGCAGTACCTCAAAACTACAGTGAAAGGTGAAGCAGCAAATTTGATCGCAAATATGGGAATCATGGATAAAAATTTAGAA